CAACTCATCAGTTCTCCTACTGGCCTGTTTACTCTCATCTTTCCTTGCTATCCTTCCAGGGGAGGGGACACATAAGAGCCCAGGAGCCCCACACTGAGTATTTGCCTTCTCAAAGGCTAACTTGGAGCTCAGCCCTGAAAGATGCGTTCTGCTCTCAAGCTGCACCTCCTCCTCTTCTTTACTCTAACCCTAAAGTCAAACTTATTTTTGGAAGACCACAGAGTAGGAAAAAGAGCTTCAGATGCTGTAAAAGTGTGGGATGTCTAGTTTTATTCACACTGGAAGATCCTGGCCTGGCTCCAAGCCCTGTCAATGCTGGCCAGTGCAGATGTCAGGGCACTAGCACAAGACCTGGAGGTGCAGAATCACAAATACATGCAGCAGGAACACTGCAAATGCATGAGTAAGACTGTATAAGGCTTCTGTACATTAAAAAAAAAAAAAATAAATTGAGCTTGTATTGGAAAGCGATGGGAAAACATGATGGAAAGGAAAGGGAGGCCCAGCGCTCAGGCATGCAAAGGCTTTGAATGCAGGTCCTGACACCTTGGAACAATGCCCCAGCTGACTCCATTCAACAGCCTCCCATACCCAAGACTTATAACTCACGGGCAGGGAAATCTAGTGTCATTTTCACTGAATACCACAAATCTCTGGGCTTTTCTGCTCTTTTTGCAGAGCACACCCTTCCTAGCAAGAAAGCTTTTTTTGCCATCCCTGTGGGAAAATTTCCCAAACTCATTGAAGAAACAAGTTTTTGGTAAAAAGACACTGCTTCAGTTTGCCAATGCTGGATCTGTAAGCTTCCTCTAGTGAGTGACAGCACTAAGTTCTGCCAGGCTGTGACAGACCTGACTCCATGGGTCTAAATTAAGCTAGGGAATCATGTTTCTTCTGCTGACTCTGTATTCCACCTGCCAAGCTCAGGAAGAGCAGAGGAGGAGAGGAACCAATCTGAAAGCAAACTTGGAAAAGTACCACCTTGGAAAATGAGAAAACTAAAGCCAGCAAAGACTGAATCCTGCAAGAAGGTGAAGGGAGGCCAAGGTTAGTACCACTGAGACAAAGGGAGATGCAAAAATAGGACTGACCGCCAAGCATCAAATCCTGCAAAGGCAGGAGAGGGGAAATGAAGGGCAGATGGAGCAGATCTGGAGTTTAAAAAGAAAAACTGGGTCTTGATGGGAAAAAAAGTACAGTGACAAAGGCAAAAGTGGGTATGAAATAGGCAGGGCAGCCAAACTCCCGATTTGCGAGGATTTGCCAGGCAGGCAAGGCTCCTGACATGAGAGGGTGTAATAGTAAGCGAGGGGAAAAATACAAACAAACATTCCAACCAAAAATAGGGTCAGAGAGTAGGAGTAAAGAAAGAAAATAGGGCAGAAAGAATTGTACTTGCATGGTTCTAAAGTGGGACACAAGACTCCTGAATTCCTTAACATGCCTATCAAGTTTCTACAAACCTTCTGGAGTTGCATGTGTGAGTATCCAACTGCTTTGCTCTGTAATTATAAGCTGAAGCATCAAAGATCTGCAAGATGCAGTTAAAACTCTCAGGTCTGCTGATAAAACATCTAAGTAGATAAAGACTGAAGCTATTCAGATATTTGGACAAACTAAAGTTGATTACAAAACCTTTGTTCACTTTCTCTTTACCCGTGTGAAACAAATAATATTGGGGTATTGGAGCACTACATTATCCTCCAGACTTGAATTCAAGCTCCACTGTTAGCCAGAAGTTCCCCTGTAACTTATCAGAATCATTTAAAACACAATTTTACATGCAATTACTAACTGTGTGCCATATTAAGAGACTTCCTTAGATCACTAAAGCCAGTCCTTGCCAACACAAGCATAATCATCTTCTAGTCCCTTTTCTACGCTGATCAAGCTCCATCTGAAAACCAACTAGATAATTTGAATGGTTTGATTGAGTTTGCAGAAGAGATGAACTCTCTGAATTCTGTCATAAGGACCAAGAGCTCTGTTTTATATCAAGAAATGCCAAAGAAATGTTAAACAATTTAGCTAAAGTCTCAGACTGGGCACTGAAAATTAGTAGCCAGTTCTAATGTTTACCTTTATTTGCAGTGGCTAAAAACCACTGTGACAAGATAGCACTTCTGCATTGCAGAAAGGTGTTCTGGAAATAACATACTGGTAAGTATTAATGAAGATTAATATAGAAAGGGATAAAAGGATAGAAAACAATCCTACATTGTGTAAAGAACATGTATCAGCTATCCATACAACTAGATGCTTTAATTGGTAAGGCTATACCACAGGAAAACGGCTAAATCAGACTCTCAAAATTAGACTGGACAAACAATGGAAAAAATACAGCAAGTAAAAACATCACATGGCTTTATAAACATTTGCTGAAATGCTCTGCCTCAGTATTTATTTGATCATAAACTACCCTATTGTTTAAAGCTGGGTAACAGACTATTTCTCTAACAATTTTTATTCTGTTTAATTTTAACAAAATATCCTTACTACACAGCCATCATAGGCTTGTGAGCTGTAGTATGCACAGCTCTCCCAAAGTATGTCTAAGAGAGCACTGAGTCTTGGCTGAGTACATTTATTGACCTTACAACGATCCACTTTAAATGTTTGTGCCTTGATTTCAAACAACACAAATAAAAAGCATCATTCTAGCAGAGTTTAAACCAAGAGCGAAAAACCAAGGCACTGTACTGAGAACTACCAGGAACTCTTATCTCACCCATCAGGGTACTGAAGCAGGCACCTCACAGAACACTTGAGATACCTGAAGTGTTTTACTCACTTACCTATTCTTTGACGAGAGAAGGGAAAGACTGCTCTCTCTCTAGATCCTTTGTAAAACCCTATTGAATTGACTTAAATCAAACTCAGCATTATGCAATTTTACAATTTTTGTATGCTAAGCTAGTTTATAAAGGCTCAGATTACTTCTTATTTTCTTAAATGAAGGGCAAATACAATATATTAACATGGGAGGACAAGTCAAATTTTTTGAATGAAATTTGCAATTCCACACAAAATACCTAAGTTACCATTTTGTTTTCAGCAATGTAAATCAGATTACATTTAACTGACCTCTAAAATCTCTCTACCCTACTAAGCAGCTAAATCAATCTAGTTGACAGGAAAGGAATTTTAAACAATCCAAATGATTTGGTACATAAAAAAACTTTGACACAACAGGACTGAAATCAGTCCCTTTCTATTTTTAAGGTACAGTTGAAACTAGACTTTCTTACATGAGGCGATTTCTACTTAACACCATCATTTTCCCTGTAATTTGAACATGTCAGTCTTAATAAATCTGTGTCTTGTCATGCCAAAAGAGCCACGCTCAAGTTTGAATTGGGCATGCAGCAGTTCGGAGTATGTCCTTTTATAGGAGTCTCTTTAATCATTAGCAAGGCTTTCATGGCTTAAGGTGTTTAATGGGCCATGAAGTTACAGAGTTACAAAGCTACAGTTACTTCAAATCCTGTGAGTATCTGACCATACCCTGTGCCTGGGAAATCCAGGAGCTTAGCAGGATCTGTCTGATTATGCAGTATAGAATGAAAGACACTGTATAAGATATATCCATGTGACTACAAGCAGAATGAAAACAACTCTACCTTCTTCAATACAATGCCTACAGCACTCACAGGTGAGTCACCTGGCACAGTCTCAGTATGACTGTCATTCATTCTCAATATCACTGTCATTTTCATGTTTATGCCATCTCTGTGCCAGCTACATGACTACAGTGAGTCCTTTTTTTCTCACCACGTTTTCTTTCCTTACATGACCCTGCCCTGCCCAATGCTCCTCCTGCAGAACCCATCACTCCTCTGAGCAGCAGTCAAAAGCTGAGCATAGAGCAACCAGTTACCCACACACACTCCTCTAAAGAGTAAACTAGCCAAGAATGCATTGGATGGAGAGTGCAGGATATCAGCTTTCAACCAAAACAAACCCAAGCCAAAATGATTCAACCAAGGCCACAAGCCTTGCATTGCCCAGTGTCCTGTTGCACAGGAAAGAAAGGAAGGTAAAAATTCCTTACAGTGCTGATCAAGAACTTCAGAAGGGCAGCGCTCCAGAAGCAGCCACTCATTGCTAAAGCACTGCTGCAGCTTTATTTTAAAAAAAAAAAAAAAACAACTCCACCAAAACACACAATCCCCCTTCCTTTATATTTATATCTGCTTTCAGGATTTCACACACTTGCCACTTTTCAATAAGAGCATGCAAAAGAGTAGTTACCCCATTTGCAGCACCACACTAGGCAGAAAAAAAACATGAGTTTACCCTGGTAATATTCCAAGTTCTTTCACACATTCAAACTCTGAAGCAGGAAAACTTTCCACAGACGCTTATGTTCCTGGGCAAAGTGTCATTTTTCCCTATCAGCAGAACAGTGTAAAAAGCAGGCTTTAAATAGCATTCCAAAGCAAACGTCACTTCCTTTATCATTCCAAACCATGAAAGATCCTCAATAAGTTTCAAGCCAGTAAAGAGAATTAAAATGAGAACTGTACAGCATGAGAGCCGAGGAAAATTCAAAATGAGCAAGTAATTATGTAAAATTTCAGTCAAGACTCGAGTAGCAACACCAGGTGGCTTCAACTAGAGGTTTGCAGAGTGAGTAAAGCTGACTCAGCAATGGAGGAAACACAGTGATGAAGGTTTAAAATCTGCTGCAATGCACTCTGAAAACTGCACATAGAAATAAACTAAACCAAAACTAAACAAAACCAAACAGACATGTTCATGCAAAGAACTATTCTGATATATCAACAAATAGACTCTTTCATTTTTTCTTAAAATATAGTATCAAATGTTTATGTGCACAAGGAAATTGAGGGAACACTACACTATTTTATCTGTTTTCACTACACACTGACATTTTCCTAGGAGTCTTCAACAAGAGTAAGAGCAAAATATATTTAATCAAAATTATTCTAAACAGTGAACCAAAAGAAAATAAAGTAGTACATCCAAACCAACATTACCTTGGAAAACCGAGCATTTATCCATTTCGTAAAGGTTTTTTTCTGTACGTCATTATGTTCATCTGAAGAGAGAGAATAAGAAAACAATGAGTGAAATTGCATTCTTCTTAATCCTGGATTGTTCAGTAGAAGTCACATTAAATACTGTCCTGAGAAGTGGGAGAACTTTTTGCCTTATTTGTCAATAAAGCTGTACAACCATCCACAACACTTTAGTACTTGCAGAGGCACACAAATGTTCTGCCTTTGCTGGTAACCACAGCAGCTCCTTTGCATTAGAATCAGCCTCACAGCACCTCCCAAGCGGGTTTCTGATGCATAAAATTCACATGCTTCCCATCTGGTGAAAAACAACCTACGAAACCATGGGCTTTTAATTAACAGACTTTGTCAACACCTTTTTGCCTGAATGCATTACTCCAAAAGGTGCTGAGGCCCTTACTCAAGCTTCTGATGCAGATAATAGCCTCTGAGGCAGCAAAGCTACTGGGGCAACCCTTGAAGCACTGGCAGCCTTACCCACCCTCAGCCTGCTTTTGCAGCTGGGTTCAGAGGCGTGTTAGTGATCAGTCACAGACAAGTTCAGCTAGGGTGTGGGAAGGGCTCAGCATCCTTTCCCTTCAGATATCCTGCTGGTGTGACACCGAAGTGCCACCACCTAGGGTATGCGAGACAGTCAGAAGGACACAGCAGGACAGGAAGAAGGGCAGGGAAGAGCCTGTAGGTCAGAGCAGAGGGAGGAGCAGTGGCTCCAGCTGGGCAAAGGGCAGGCAGTTTCCCAGGATGCCTAAGGAAGCCATTTAGGAGTCACCTGCAATTTTACAGAGCCTGTCCCACCAAACCAGGGTGAGTCACCTCCAGCACAGGACAGACACTCCTGCCTCTATCACAGGACCCATCTTGGGTAAATTGCACTGAGCACTGCTAAAGGTGAACCTGTGTTTCACCACCTGTACTTAAATGACAGTGAAATAACTGCTGACAACCAGACTAGGCAAGGGAGGTTGACCCAGAACAGATTTCCAGGTATGCTTGCTGCAGACAAGAAAACACATACATGCAGCCTGTTAAAGGCTTCAACAAAGGCTTCAACCTCCAAATCACAGCAAGGGCAGCCAGTGCCTTATACCAGGCAAACTGCTGGACAGCTGCAGCCCAGATCAGGAGACTCCAAGAGCTCTTCGAGACACCACCAGCTTCTTGGCAGACCAATCTTGAGATGCCCTTCAGGCGACCACAACACACTGCTGTCTGGAACGCTTTCTTGCAGAACCTCTTGGTGGCAGCTGGCATCAATTTTTCCAGAATCCATTCCACAAAGCAGCAAACCACGATGGTTTTCAGACTAACTGTCCCTGCACTTGGAATGAAGCCACAGAAAAAGCCTGATTGCAACTCAAACTTTCTACTTCATGCAATCACGAAAATTTTATGCATTCTGAAGCAATATCAGATTACGATTAAAAAGCACCACTTACAAGCTCATATACCTCAGCAGCAATTGAGACTGTTGTACAATAAAGTTTCATCTATAAAATCCAGATATTAATTAACTTAAAAACCACAGAATACAACCAGAAGATTTCTTATATAGACAACCTCAACATTTCTCATTTCTGGCCAAACACAGAAGATTACACTATCCATGTATTTACATCTAATATATCTAGCCAAAAAAACTGTTACACACAGAAACCAACAACCACGTATGTCTTACCTAACAGCAAAGTATAGTGGCTACAGCTCAGTCCAGATACAAGAAGTCACATTGGTAAGAAATAAAGTGTCATGATAGTTGAAAAACTTAAAATGTATGAAATTGTTCATTTAAATTAAAACCTTAGTTCTGGACTTCTTTTAGGCTACAGCTGAAAAATCTGCTTAAGACACAAAGGTGCACGTCAGCCAGGAGCCATAGTTTCACCCTTCCATACCACTCCTCTTTGGCAGCTAAAGCTGATCCAACAGACCCATTCTTGAGTCACACCTCAAGCCCAACCAGACATCAACGACAGCCCAATGACTGAAAAGATTTTTCTGAGCAAGCTTCAAGATAGCTATAGCATTTGCACAGTATGCCATACTCAGAATGCTGGAACTCAAGATGTTGTTTCAGAGTATAATTACCTAAGACACCTTGTTAACCCTGTCTTTTACCCTCAGTGGCCTACAGTTCCTTACTATCAAAGACAGATAGAACTAAGTAACTTCCTGGTAGATCCTAAGTATCCATCTCACAGGAGCCTGGCACACAACATAAACTCAAAACAATTTTTTAAAAAATATATTTAATCTATTTTCCCCCTACAAGTCTATTTTTTTTTTCCTTTTAAGACACAGGAATGGACCAGATTGGTCCAACTGGCACTGTTGGAGCAATGTTTTCCATTGGCTTTAACTGCAAATACTATTTGTATTGAACATAGTGAGATTTAAACATCAATCATTAACCAGTCTGCCCCTTTTTGTGCCAACACCCCCATCTACACCCCTATGTACCATGATGCTTTCCTTAGGCTCCATCTGCCTTTTTCCTTCCTTTAGCATCTGTGAGAATGAAGAGTAACACCACAGTTTGAGGTATCACGTTCTTTTAACATTATTAATCCTTAGCATGAAAAAGGCAAAGAACAGAGAGGCCAAAAACAGTTGTATGACTGTGTAAAAAAGGAGAGCAACAGTTATGACAAGGGTCCTGCACACCCCACTCTTGGAGGGCTCAGCCCCTTCCCGAGCACACGCATGGCAGGAGGTGACAGCTCTCCTCAGCATTCCCAGCTTCAGCCTGCCAGGATTCCCTCAGCAGGCCTTGCCCCTACAGCTGCTCCCCAACACCACAGTCCAGTTTGTGGCAGTGCTCCTGCTAGGTGTGTTGCAGTGGCACACACATCACTTACTAAAACTCCAGCCCCTTTTCTCTCTATTCAAAAAGAGGGTTTTCCAGGAAGAGGAAGGAAAAACATCCACCAAAACCCACATCTTTAATAATAACAAACTACTTAGTCTTGATAAAAGATTTGGTGAATGAAAGAACAGGAATGTATGAGCCCCTACTATCCCCTAAGGAGCAGTGCATCCTTTCTATTTCTTAAGCAAGGAATAAGAACCCCCACAAGTCCCATCTTCCTAAAACATCCTGGTCAGTTATAAAATCCATAGACAACCCTTGCCAGTCAGACTCTACTCTTATGTTTGCTTTATGAAAGCCTCTGAAACTAGGATTTTTGTAACTGGCTATTACAGCTACAGTTTTGTCAAGCTTTCTCCTATAAACCCCTGAAAAAAAAAAAAATAAAATAAAACAAACCCTGAAATGCTTGTGCTTGGATAGCAACATTGACAAGTTATTTTATCCCTCAAAGTAATTTTCTATAGATTCCTACAAATTTGTAAGGCTAACCCCCGGAGGTTGACATTATTATTCGGATAACAAATTAGCCACATTCAGTAAAAAAACAATATCACCATTCAGCAAAGCACACAGTAATCCAGCCAGTCAACTTCTCACACAAGACATTAAAAATGTCAGCAAGTTACAGCCCAGTGAGAAACAAATTCACCAAGTTGCTAAAACATTTGTTTCCTTTCACACTGCTGCAGCCTGACAATAAAAGCCAAGGACTGACTCAGGGCCAAATTCTGTTTCATTACCTACTGACTGTTTCCTCTCTCTGCCTGCCTTCCAGTCACTTAATGGACTAGTAATGGACAATGTTAGAACAGTTTGTTCCTTTAAGAGGAAATAAAAACAAACTTAAACACGCACACACACACACATGAAATTAAACTCTTGTGATGACAAAAGAGAGAAGAAGAGTTTCCTATCCCGGATGCCTGCTTCTGTTACACAAGATGATGTATGTCCACCCAACCGGGGTGCGCTCGGAACAACCGGCTCCTGTGATCAGATGCCCAGGCCGTGTCCTGGCACTCAGTCGCCCCCCGCAGCCACTTCTGTCACCTTACACACCTCCTCCACCCACAACACTGTCCTTTAACTTCGTATGGGGCACCTTGAAAACACAGTTCAAGTCCAATCTATCACCTTGTGAATATCGTTGGAGAGAAAAAAGGAATCTAAATTATCTAAAAATAGAGGTTAAAACAAAAGCCTCACTGGATTGCGGTTTGTCCTCTACTCAACCTCTGTTTCATGCTGAAAGAGAGCTTTCTTATTTCCCCAAAACACATTACATGCTTGCATGACAGAACTGCATTATTTTGCTTTTGAAAGACAGAAGTTATCACACCCAAAACAGCTGGCAGAACAGCACGAAAATGAAAATGCCCTGGAGAAGCATAGACTTGATTGGCAAATAAAGTACAGAAATTGCCCAACCACTCCAGCGCACATTACCAAGGGTCATCTCACATTTGAAGACTTAAATTTGCCTTCACCACCTCATTCTTTAGGTTCTCAGCAAAGGAATTTAGAAATAAAAGAAGGAATTAGCCTGTGGGTTTCAATTAAGACACTAGGAATGTAACTAAGTTAGAAACATCCCTTTGCCTAAGCCTTTAGGCAATCGGGAGTATCTATCGTAGATACTGCCCCTCCCTGGACTTGCACACCTATGAAACCCTGACAACAGTAACAAAAAGAGGGATGAGGATGCCTTTTGAAAGCAACTATCTTTTTGTTAAACTCAGACTAATTCATACAGCAAAAGACACATAATTACCATCTAAAATTTGAGCATGGAAACCAGCACCGATTTTATCCCTGTCAGCAAGGAGCAAAAAGCCAAGTCATGAAGCACCAGTTTGTGACCACCAAGCTCACAGAAGAACCCCTGATCTCATTGTGAGTACTGGCTCCTGACTTTATCAACACAGAATAATCTTTATCCGCAGGTTTTGGGTTGGGCCATTTTTAAAGATTTGGGGGAAAGGGGGAAGGTAAGATGTTTAAGTTTTTAAAGGAACAAAAAGCAAAAGTTGAGATTGTACTGTATATTGTCTCTTCTCTTGCAACACCACGGTAGAAAAAAATAGCTCCAGCAACACATAATTTGCTTGTAAACTTTCACCTTTATGCTGCAATTTTAATTTCTGCAATCAG